AGGGGGCTGCGAGCAGCAGCGCTGCGGTTCACCAGCCGGATGCACGGGGGGCTTGGACCCTCGTCACAGCTCCAGTAAGCACCACAAGCCCCAGCTGTGTGCCCACACGGGCTCCATGCCACCCCTGTCAGCCTTCCCAAGGGGGTGAGGGCAACTGAGTTTTAAGAAGAAATAATCTGTTGGCCTCTCGGGTCTGCAGCTGCAATTTCACATTTTTACCCCCCTAACTCTTCTTTAGAAAAAGAATCTGGTTGCAATTTTCAGCAGCTTTAAGCTATTTGTTTAATTTGAAGAGCAAAAGCTGTCCACTAATGACAGTGTAATACATAACAATTTTAGTACCACAACAGTTAAAAGCCAGTTAAACGCGTTCCCCCAAGAAGGGCTCTGCTGGCTAACGCTGCCGTGTGCCAAAACCCACTTCCCTTCGTTCCCGCGTGGCAGTATCGCTCGCCTGGATGGAAACCAGGCGCTGGAGGGAAGGTGGGGCTGGGCTGGGGGCTTTTTTCCCCTTGGCACTAGACCACACTCCCCATTCTGCCCGTTTTACCCTGAGTCCTCTTTACAAAACCTAAGCAGAAATATTTTTTATGCAGACCAGACTTAAGGGGAAAAAACCTCCCGGCTCCAGTGCTGAATGCGGAGAGGTCTCCCAGCCGGACGCAGCTTTGCTTCCCTCCAGGCTGGCACACCTTGGCACGACAAGCTTCTCCGCTCCCTTTCCCTGGGGGAGCACACAGGGCCAGTCGCTGCTGCATTCCAGCAGAGGTGGCGGGAGGGTCCCCGGGCACAGGGGCTCCAAGCCCACCACTCCGCTCGGCCACCCCGGGCAGGCATTCTGTACCAAGGCAGTGCCCCTGGAGACAGCAGCCCTGAGGGCAACCCGGCTGCCCACCCACCACCAGGAGAATTTAAACCCCCTTTCCCCCCTCCTCCACTTACCCAGCAAACCTGAGCCAAGTCAGAGACAGCAGCACTACGGAGGAGCTAAGCCGTGACACGAGCGCATCGCCCCGCTGCCTCGGCTCCGTCTTGGTATTCCCATGGATGCCCATCCAGGGCTGAGGTGCTGCAGTGTCTGACAGGCAACAAGGCTGCATTCTGGGGAGGTTTAGGGCTCTTCTGTGATTTACAGAGGCACAAGCGAGCACTAGTTGCACTCCTGGTTAATACACCTGAGATGCCAGGCCTATTTTAAGTCCAAGATTTTAATGAGTATCTCAGCAAGCAAGGAAAATAAGGCTTTCTGCCTCCTTGGTGCCCTCCCAGGGCATTCAGGGAAAGGACCAAATCCCAGCCCAGACCCCCCAGGAAGGCCTGGAGGAATCGCTCCCGCTCCAGCCTGGGGTTTTGGAGCGTGCAGGCGGCTGCGGGGGCTGCACAGGCGTGGTACGACTGGCAGGACGGCGGAGGTGGGACCTCTGCTCAGCCATGTTTGTGTTGGCCACCAGCTTTACCAAAGCAGTGAGCTTTCTAGTTGTAAAGCCCATTAAGACTTCTAGAAACGTCAGCCAACCTATGAACACCCAAAGGCAATCCATTCCCCTCTCCTACCTACTCTGGATATTTACGTGGTTTTCCAAAACACAAAGTGTTAGGCACATTTTTGCTCTGCAAGGCAAGCCAGATGTTTTACTATTTTTCCCCCCAGTAACTTTATTCCAGAGCCGAGTTATGTTCTCCATTAAGCACCACGACTACCAGCCAAACGCGCCGCGGATCATCTTACCAGCTTCTGGGTGAGCCCCGGGGGAGCCCACTCGTACGTGATGGTGTCGAAGGTGGGGTCTTTCCGCGAGACGATGGGGTTGGTGATGATCATGCGGTTCCGCTTGTAAATGCGAACGCCGTCACCCCCCTTCACCCGGGCGGTGAGCGTGGCGTACTTGGAGTCCGCCAGCAGGCGCCCAATTTTCCGATCGTCCTCCACGTCCGAGCTCAGGCTGTGATCCTCCTGGCTGCACTTGCATGACTTGCAGATTTTCCTGCGGGTGACAAGCGAGATCATCTCTTGGCGTGAGCTGGGCGGTGGGAGGCTGAGCTGCTGAGGGTCAGCGTCATCCAGAGGTTAAACACAGACCAGGGTTATGGCATCAGACAAAACACTCCTGTGGCCTGAGCCACGCGTGGGAATTCAGCACGACTCATCCCAGAGGGGTCGGCAGCAGCACAGGGCAGAAAACTGCCAACCCCTGAGTAAAACCCAGCCCCAGCTGCGCCAACAGACTGCTGCATTCCACCACCCAGGGAGCCGCCTGGAAACCCCTCTGAGCATCACTCAACCTCCCACCCTCACCAGTGTCCACAGCCCAGTGCAAGCCTTGCCTCTTGGAAGCTTCACATGCCATTAAAAAGCTGACAGCTAAAAGAGAAAATGACAGACACTTAAATATCAATTCAATTGTAACAGCTACAAGTCACAAAGATAAGGCCACTCTCTGCTGGCAGCTTCTCCATCCCATGCCAACAGCAAAAGGACAAACTCTGATGCAACCCCAAGTATTTCATTTTTTTTAGGATCCTGGAACGAGCATGGTTCAAACCAGCCTCTAATTGACTCGATTAAAAAAAGTAATTCAACCAAATGAGTGTTTGAAAGTTCAGATTCCCACAGAGCTGAGCTGCTGGCACCAGGAGCCGAAGGCGGCTGTGGAGGGCACCGCTGGGTGCCACCGCCGTGAAGCCAAGGGAAGGACTTCAGCAGCACAGACCATGCAGCTGCGCACCGCTGCGACGGGCCCCGCGGCACGGCCACGGCACGCACCGGTCCTCTGGGCCCACAGAACAGAGCCCAGAGTTTTGCAAGACAGCCTCAGAGGGTGTTAATTCTTTTTTAATTAATGACATCTGCATAGCTCCCATTTCAAAGCCCCCTTTGTTTCCCCCATTCTGCTTTGCAGGCAGACGGAGCAGGGCAGCAGCTCACAGCCCCTGCCCAGAGCCCAACACGCAGCACCGGTCTGCTCCCACCAGCTACTGATATTGGTGGCTTTTTACCTAAATTAGTGTTTTTAGGAGGAAAAAAAAAAAGAAAATAAAGTATGAAACAGATGTTTCTGGCAGTAAGCACAGCACTTCGGCTGTCGGGGAGCTCAGCACAGCCAGCAGCCACCGTGGTGCTGCCGAGCGGGACGCAGCACCGAGTCCCCACCGACGGTGCTTCGTTCCACCCTGCCAGCTCTGCGCCCCTGCCCAGGAATGAGGGTGACAGCCAGGCCCTCGGCACAGCTCCTACCAACAGTGCGGGATCATCCTTCTGGCTGGCATTCCCCCGCCCCCAAAGCCAGCAAGGACAGGTTTGTTTTCCACTAACTTGCTTCCAGGCAATCTGGCAGGCTGGGAAGCTGGCACACGTGGGCAGAGGACCCCCCATGCACGGGCACACACACGCTGTGCAGGGCATCGAGTGGTTTGTGCCAAGCACAGCGTGCAGCAGCTTTTGGCACCATGCCCCACTCCCGGGGTCTTGAGACCAAAGGGGTGGTGCCAGGGCAGGGTCCATCAAGGCCAAGACGTTACCTCCAGGAATGTGGCTCGAAGCCCGTGCACGTCCCTCTGCAGCGTAAACAGGGCACACCTCTTCCCGACGGCGGCTGGCTCACCGACATCTGGAAAAGAACAGGACACTGAGTTGGAAAGGCTTTATCCTCAAAGATAATCTGAGAGTACAGTACTAATACTGTGTTTTCTCCGTCAGATGTTGACTTCTTCAGCCATGTCTTATGTCCTGTGAAGCCTCAAACCTCCCAAACATCATCTGACCACCGTCCATGCAGACCTGCTGCAAGTTTATGCAGGGATGCTTGGGATGAAGGTTTTTGCCTTAAAGTGAGGGCAGATGGAATGCCTGGAACAGCGTGGGGAAGATGACACATCAAACAGAACACACCCTCATCTCATGCGCAGAAGCCTTCGGTCTCATTAAAAGGTTATTTTGCTTCAGCTTATCCATTGCACATGAACCTGTGCAAGTCAAACTTTGCGTGGCGAGACGGAGAGGGGCATTGCCATGAGCCAACGCTGAACTTGCTTTACTGCAGCTCGGACCTCGTTGGTCCTTCTCCAGGGGCTCAAGTGTTTTGGGAACACGGTGTTTCCACACCTCTGGTGCTGGGCTTTAGGGGTGGCTTCCACAGCAAATAGGAAACACAGTGGGGAAAGGGGACAGGGCAAGGCAGAGGGGGACAGGGCTGTGGTTGTGCTGCACATTCTGCTGCCCACCAAGAGCAGAAGAAAGTCCGTTTCATGCATGGGTGCCCACTGCTGCACCGAGACAGTCCTAACAACCTCCCAACAGGGGAGAGGCAAGTGCAAAAAGCCACAGCAGAAGCCAGTAACATTGAAAATAAACCTATTTTAGTGTCTGTGCCATGGATTTATCCAACATGGCTTTCTGAAGGTGAAGAACACAGGAGGGTATGATGGGAGACAAACACAAAGTATTGCAGAAGCATCAGGGAGGTGACACCACGGGACACTGAATTTTTCTCAGCCTTGTTGTCTTTACAAAAACTCAGACTCCTGTCTGAACAACTCATTTGTTCCCTGTAAAACCAACTCGGAGTTCAGAGTAAAAAGAACTATCAAGTCTCCACCTCGCTCATCCTTGAGGAACAGCCCAAAGGGCAGGAGATGGCCCATTTCACCTCACTTAGCAGTCCCTTGGGCAATTTCCTTTGTGCCTCA